ATCATAAAAGTGCATCTATCCATCATAAAAGTGCATCTATAAAAGTGCATCTGTCCATCATAAAAGTGCATCTATCCATCATAAAAGTGCATCTATAAAAGTGCATCTGTCCATCATAAAAGTGCATCTATCCATCATAAAAGTGCATCTATCCATCATAAAAGTGCATCTATCCATCATAAAAGTACATCTGTCCATCATAAAAGTGCATCTATCCATCATAAAAGTGCATCTATCCATCATAAAAGTGCATCTATCCATCATAAAAGTGCATCTGTCCATCATAAAAGTGCATCTGTCCATCATAAAAGTGCATCTGTCCATCATAAAAGTGCATCTATCCATCATAAAAGTGCATCTATCCATCATAAAAGTGCATCTTTCCATCATAAAAGTGCATCTATCCATCATAAAAGTGCATCTGTGCATCTATCCATCATAAAAGTGCATCTTTCCATCATAAAAGTGCATCTATCCATCATAAAAGTGCATCTGTCCATCATAAAAGTGCATCTATCCATCATAAAAGTGCATCTATCCATCATAAAAGTACATCTGTCCATCATAAAAGTGCATCTATCCATCATAAAAGTGCATCTATCCATCATAAAAGTGCATCTGTCCATCATAAAAGTACATCTGTCCATCATAAAAGTGCATCTGTCCATCATAAAAGTGCATCTATCCATCATAAAAGTGCATCTATCCATCATAAAAGTACATCTGTCCATCATAAAAGTGCATCTATCCATCATAAAAGTGCATCTATCCATCATAAAAGTGCATCTATCCATCATAAAAGTACTTCTGTCCATCATAAAAGTGCATCTATCCATCATAAAAGTGCATCTGTCCATCATAAAAGTGCATCTATCCATGATAAAAGTGCATCTGTCCATCATAAAAGTGCATCTATCCATCATAAAAGTGCATCTATCCATCATAAAAGTGCATCTGTCCATCATAAAAGTGCATCTATCCATCATAAAAGTGCATCTATCCATCATAAAAGTGCATCTATCCATCATAAAAGTGCATCTGTCCATCATAAAAGTGCATCTGTCCATCATAAAATTCCATCTATCCATCATAAAAGTGCATCTATCCATCATAAAAGTGCATCTGTCCATCATAAAAGTGCATCTATCCATCATAAAAGTGCATCTATCCATGATAAATGCATCTAATATCTTATATCTATGAAATCTATTTTTATCATCGCTTGAGGGTGAGTAAATCATGGGCTAATTTTAATTTTAAAGAGAACTACTCCTTTAACTGGAATCAAACACGTCCCCTCGCTGGACAGTCGAGGTGTACAGTACACAAACACAGTCAAGCTTTAACGTTTTCACTGCTGACTCGACACATATTCCAGCGGCCCTTTACGTCCTGTCAAATCCAATGACATTTTAGCCCCATTGAATAGGGGAAACGATTTAAGACCCCTTTTGTGCGGAGTCCGACTCGTTCGACTGTGTAAAATGTCTGTGTAAACAGTCACTCGTTCTCTGTGACACACAGGACTCAATCATTCATCTGGACCATAATTCAGAGATTCAGAGACACGGTTTACATATTCCAGAATCACTGAGACAAATGCTATCACCATGATGAAAATATGGCTGGCAATTCATTGTCATACAGAAATTATGATTAACAACTGAATGTTACGTTACAGCAAATAATACTGATCAAATTATTTAAAAAGCATATTTCTGTCATACATTTTTCACTTTTAAGGCAGCATTTTTTAAGGTGGGCTGATTAATCTGATTAGATGATGTAAATCTGATCTCCTCAGTGCCGTTGCATAATATTAAGATTAATTTTTTTTTTTTTTTAAGTTTACAAAAATAAAGTGAAAACGTTCCAAAGCGCTTTTGCAAATCATACCACAAACTCCGATGGTCTAGTTAATATGGAGCGCTCATATAATGGACTTCTGCACCATTCAAAAATGACCATTCATAGCTTTTATATATGAATTTAATTTCCCTTATTTCGATAATAATACGTGATTGGATTTATAGTGCATAATGCTCACAATGTTCATCACTATTATAATCACATCAGGCCTAATTTGGACAAAATCCAGTGCACAAGAGCCACTGGTTCCAACAAACCCCTTAAGCTAAGAAAACCTTATAAAATTATAACTAAACACATTATCGAAAAGGGTTTTCTGAACTTAAGGGGTTTGTTGGAACCGGCTAAAGATATTTTAGAATATTTTCCTCAAACGGTCATGATCTTTGGGTCTGTTTCCAGATCTTTGTTGCATCTGTTTATCTTACTGGCAATAACCGCCAGCAACAAACGCTCAAAGCAGAAGACGATCTCGACATGAGCCACTATAAACAGGGATTTCCTCTGGAGCGAGACGAAAGACGGGGCTCGAACTTATAAAAGGTTCTTCTGAAATGATCCCGGAAACCCTCCGCCCCCCCGAGGGAGCTCAAACCAGTGAAAATCTATCCTCTCCATCCTCCACTGGGGGCTCGTGGTTCAGATACCAGTGAAATCACACCTCACGCTCACATACTGACGCTTTTGTGTTGGGCTGTGTTTGATCGGTGTGTTGGAACGGAGGGACGGTTTTAAAATGAAAGCAGAGTGTGAGGAGAGCAAAGCGGGCAGATGTTTGACCGGGTTCACGGTGTTGGGGGGGGGGGGTCAGGCTGTTTAACCCTGAGGAAACATTTGTTTTAACCCTGTGATGAGGTCGTTTTTAACACTGGATCAAATTTGTTTAAATACCTTTTAACCCTGGGTTAAACAATGTTTCACACTTGTATTTAGACAGAGAAGAGCACTGCATTTAAGGGTTAACATTATTTTAATCTATTTTAATGCTGGGTTAAAATTATTTGGATCACTTTTAAAACATTTGGTTCAAAAGGGTTTCAAAACATTTCACACTTGTATTTAGACAGAGGATAGCACAGTGGATAGCACAGATAAAAACGTGATGAGGTCGTTTTTAACACTGGATCAAATTTGTTTAAATACCTTTTAACCCTGGGTTAAACAATGTTTCACACTTGTATTTAGACAGAGAAGAGCACTGCATTTAAGGGTTAACATTATTTTAATCTATTTTAATGCTGGGTTAAAATTATTTGGATCACTTTTAAAACATTTGGTTCAAAAGGGGTTCAAAACATTTCACACTTGTATTTAGACAGAGGATAGCACAGCATTTAACCCTGAGAAAACATTGTTTTAACCCTGTGATGAAGTCGTTTTCAACACTGGATCAAATTTGTTTAAATACCTTTTAACCCTGGGTTAAACAATGTTTCACACTTGTATTTATACAGAGAAGAGCACTGCATTTAAGGGTTAACATTATTTTAATCTATTTTAACGCTGGGTTAAAATTAACCCTGGGTTATTATTATTTGAATCACTTTTAACCCTGGTTCAAAACATTTCACACTTGTATTTAGACAGAGGATAGCACAGCATTTAACCCTGAATTCAACCCTGAGGAAACATTGTTTTAACCCTGTGATGAGGTCGTTTTTAACACTGGATCAAATTTGTTTAAATACCTTTTAACCCTGGGTTATACAATGTTTCACACTTGTATTTAGACAGAGAAGAGCACTGCATTTAAGGGTTAACATTATTTTAATCTATTTTAACGGTGGGTTAAAATTAACCCTGGGTTATTATTATTTGGATCACTTTTAACCCTGGTTCAAAACATTTAGACAGAGGATAGCACTGCATTTAACCCTGAGTTTAACCCTGGGTTAATATGATTTTAACCATGTGATGCGGTCACTTTTAACCTCAGGTTAACAATGTTTCACACAGATATTCAGACAAAGGTTAGCACAGATTTTAACCCTGGGTTAACATTATTTTAGCCCATGATGAGGTCCTTTTAACCCTTGGATTAACAACGTTTCATGCAGATTTTAAGACAGGTAAACTATGTGTTTAAACCTGGCATAAAATTATTTTAACCACATGACGAGGTCATTTTTAACCCTGGTATAACACTATTTTAACCCTGTCCTGTCATTACCTTTAACCCTGGGTTAAACAATATATTACATTTGTATTTAGACAGAGGTTAGTACTAGGTTTAAACCTGATTTAACACTATTTTAACCCAGTGATGAGGTCACTTTTAACCCTGGGTTAAGATTATTTTAACCCTGAAATCCTGAAAAAAGATTAGCTATGTGTTTAAACCTGGCATAACATTATTTTAACCACATGAGGAGGTCATTTTTAACCCTGGTATAAGACTATTTTAACCCTGTCCTGTCATTACCTTTAACCCTGGGTTAAACAATATATTACATTTATATTTAGACAGAGGTTAGTACTAGGTTTAAACCTTATTTAACACTATTTTAACCCAGTGATGAGGTCACTTTTAACCCTGGGTTAAGATTATTTTAACCCTGAAATCCTGAAAACCTTTAAGACAGGTTAGCTATGTGTTTAAACCTGGCATAACATTATTTTAACCACACGAGGGGGTCATTTTTAACCCTGGTATTACACTATTTTAACCCTGTCCTGTCATTACCTTTAACCCTGGGTTAAACAATATATTACATTTGTATTTAGACAGAGGTTAGTACTAGGTTTAAACCTGATTTAACACTATTTTAACCCAGTGATGAGGTCACTTTTAACCCTGGGTTAAGATTATTTTAACCCTGAAATCATTTTTAACCCTGGGTTTCACACTTTGAAAGAGGTTAATGGTGCCTTACCTCAGCATTTAAAAGTTCTAGCCATGTAACCAGTACCAAAAATATATAGTGTAAAATGATGCAGTGTTAAGGCGATTCAGTTAGCAAAAGACAATTTAGCATAACCTTGCGCAATGCTAACTAACTTAATTAAAAATCCATGTGATGAGTGCATGAATTTATGCTTAAATTATACTTCTATTTGGGTCAGAGATGAAGATACTGGTAATGAACAAGACAACAAGATGCTTTCTGCGGGGTGCAGAGATATCCACTTACACGTATCCATAAGGGCAGGTCTTGCTGCAGCTCATGGGCCGGCACTTTGGTGCAGACACGCTACATTCACACACTTCACAACCGTAGACGTCTTTATCATAACCCAGGGGACAGTCCAGAGAGCAGTACAATGACACATCCGGACAGGTTTCATCTGAAAAAACAATTATTTACATACAGTCAAACCAAAATGTATTCAGACAGCTTCAACATTTCTCACATTATCAGTTTATTCACTATAGTTTAGAAAATGGTGATAAATATGAGCAGAACTCAGTGGATATTTGACTGGTTTTGTCCGTCCTTCTGTTAGACTCTCACACATGAATTATGTTGAATATCTGTCAGCTGTTAAATTTAACTACACAATTAGATAATACCAGTTTAGCTCAACCAGTGACCAAGCAATGCTTCATGTTGTTCAGTGTGTGTGTAAAAAGAGCATTAGCAATTACAGAAAACACACTTCAGCAAAACATCATCAGCTCAAAGTGGAGGAATCAGTTTTGCTCCCAAATGTTTCACTGGTAGTCACTGTATGAAGAATATTTGGGTCACAGTTTACTTTATTTTGCTCTCCTCACTTACAGAAATTAACTATAGTGTCCTGCACACACTAGTGAAACAATATAAAAACTTATATCTGGTGTCTGAATAATTTTTGGTGTGACTGTACAAAAGATGATCAGTGAAGTCAATACACGCTTTACAGAAAGTCATCAAGTAAAATTGGTTGAAAGTCAAATCTAATTATTTTTTATTATTTTGATGCTGCTAGTGGTGCAGAAATCCCAAACTTCATTTTTAAAATTATGTTATAGTGTATGTTGCACATTTTTTAAGAACTACACATAATTCTTCGGAGCAGTTTCCAATCCCATGAGCACCATGATGCCCAAACGCCCGACTGACCCCTGATGCTGACTTAAATTCACATGAGTAAAAAGCTTCAGAATAATTTCTGTCGTGGGGATTATTGTTCATATTTGTGAGGTGGATTCGTGTCTGAGATCATTATTGCTCGAGTCAGTGTTTGCTTGTGTTGCGGGCCGTTGGCACTTTCTCAAACACAGACTTGGGAGTATGCTGGAACGGTTTGCACGCAACACAGTTCTCATGGGTTTGTGTGTGTGTGTGTGTGTGTGTGTGTGTGCACTCACTGCTGACACACTGGCACAGCAAACACCCGCTGGGATCTTGCTGGAAGCCGAACGGACACTCGTTCCCGGAGAGAGAGCAGTTTTCCAGCGGTGGGCAGAGCAACGGACTCACCGTCTCGTATGACGGCTCTGGAAGAGAGAAACTTAGATAGTTACGGTTTCTTTTCACCAATTAATGAAGCTTTCAGAGAGACGAAAGACAGGTAACATCAGTAAAGCAGCAGAATCCAGCTGGCACAAGTGTTTTATATCCTCTTCTGCTCACCAAGGCTGCGTTTATTTGTTCAAAAATACAGTAAAAAATATTATTACAATTAAAAATCGCTGTTTTCTACGTGAATATACAGTAAAGTGTAATTTTTTCCTGTGATCAAAGCTGTATTTTCAGCATCATTACTCCAGTCTTCAGTGTCACATGATCCTTCAGAAATCACTCTAATATGATGATCTGATGCTCAAGAAACATTTATGATTATTATCAATGTTGAAAACAGCCGTGCTACTTCATATTTTTGTGGATTCTTTGATTAATAGAATTGTAAAAAATATTTTTTTACTGCTGGGCAATGATTAATCGCATCCAAAATAAAAGTTTGTTTTCATAATATGTGTGTGTGTGTGTGTACTATGTATAATATATATCTAAATACACACATATGCATGTATATATTTAAGAAATATTTGCATGTATATACATATATTTATACATAATTTATATTATATATAAATATTTGATATATAAATAAAAAAAAATCTTCAACATATACATACATAAGTGTGTATTTATACAAAATAATTATACACAGTACACACACACACATATTATGTAAACACAAGCTTTTATTTCGGGCGCGATTAATCATTGCCCAGCACTAAAATATAGGTAATATATAGTGTATGTAATATATAATTAATAATTTTTTAGATGAATTTTTGTCTTAACAAGTAAACATGTAAACAACTCATTCTGGGAAATGGGATTTTGGTCACACCACCCAGTGCTAAATGACCCAATACCACCCATACTTTGCTTATAAAGACATTTTTTTCTTTAGAATAACATAAGATTTGATTTCACATTGACTGTTTTCTACTTTCCAGAGAATCTAAGATTTATAGCGGTGATGCAAACGCTCAGATGTGTCTGGTAAACACTGGTGCATGTTGCAAGAACTGCGTGTGAAACTGTGGATGCATCTGTTGTTTGGCACAGATCATGTGATCCGATCCGGGGGTCGCTCGCTACAAACGCATCCTTACAGGTTTACAGTTTAACTGCGAACAGAAGCGTCCGGTTTGCATCGCTCACACGTAAACACAGTGCAATTACATGCAGTGATTCTCCTCTCTGACAGCCGTGATGAACGAGTGTCGGGGAAACTGCGCTTCTCTTTTGATTGTCTCTTAATCGAACACGGCCGTCAAACCTCAACAAGATGCTTTTGTTTTAGAGGAACACGCTGAGATCACATGTGCAAAACCATCAATTGCAGACATGTTGGCACATACGCAGGTAAAGACGTGTGACTAATTATTCCTCCAGAAATCCTTGTGTGTAATTAAGGACACAGGTGGCTTCCATTTGGCAGGTCGGAGCAGTAAAAGCCGAAGCTTCTGTAGTCCACAGACGCTAGTGAGCACACACACGTCAGCTTCAGCTTTAATGGGCTGTGCGTGTGTGTGTGTGTGTGTGTGTTTCAAGAGCTCCAGATACATTAAACCTTTGGCAATATCTGGAGCTACCGCTAAACAGAGACAGATTTCAGCCTGAAGCAAGAACTGAACCTGTGCTTCCATTACAGCGGCTCAACTAACTTACTGTGTGTGTGTGTGTGTGTGTGTGTGTGTGTGTGTGTGTGTGTGTATAATTATACAGTAGTCAACATTTAAAGTGGATCAAAAAAGTTCATCGAGTATTCAGACAGACCATGGTGTATGTGTGTATATATTTATATAGTTGCGGCTCAACTAACATACTGTATATGTGTGTGTATATTATACAGTAGTCAACATTTAAAGTGGATCAAAAAAGTTCATCAAAGTTGGCATAAGACATGAACGGGTAATGTTCAAAATTCATGTGTAACTAAAAGGAACTACCAGTGCACACCTTCCAGCCAATCAGAATCGAGTATTCAGACAGATCATGGTGTGTGTGTGTGTGTGTGTGTGTGTGTGTGTGTGTGTGTGTGTGTGTGTATGTGTGTGTGTGTACATACATACATACATACATACATACATACATACATACAGTAGTCAACATTTAAAGTGGATCAAAATCTTTCATCAAAGTTATACATGAATTTTGAACATTACCCGTTCATGTCTTATGACAACTTTGATGAACTTTTTTGTTCCACTTCAAATGTTGACTACTGTATACACTCACCGGCCACTTTATTAGGTACCCCATGCTAGTAACGGGTTGGACCCCCTTTTGCCTTCAGAACTGCCTCAATTCTTCGTGGCATAGATTCAACAAGGTGCTGGAAGCATTCCTCAGGGAGTTTGGTCCATATTGACATGATGGCATCACACAGTTGCCGCAGATTTGTCGGCTGCACATCCATGATGCGAATCTCCCGTTCCACCACATCCCAAAGATGCTCTATTGGGTTGAGATCTGGTGACTGTGGAGGCCATTTTAGTACAGTGAACTCATTGTCATGTTCAAGAAACCAATTTGAAATGATTAGAGCTTTGTGACATGGTGGAAGTAGCCATCAGAGGATGGGTACATGGTGGCCATAAAGGGATGGACATGGTCAGAAACAATGCTCAGGTAGGCCGTGGCATTTAAACGATGCCCAATTGGCACCAAGGGGCCTAAAGTGTGCCAGGAAAACATCCCCCACACCATTACACCACCACCACCAGCCTGCACAGTGGTAACAAGGCATGATGGTTCCATGTTCTCATTCTGTTTACGCCAAATTCTGACTCTAACATCTGAATGTCTCAACAGAAATCGAGACTCATCAGACCAGGCAACATTTTTCCAGTCTTCAACTGTTCAATTTTGGTGAGCTCTTGCAAATTGTAGCCTCTTTTTCCTATTTGTAGTGGAGATGAGTGGTACCCGGTGGAGTCTTCTGCTGTTGTAGCCCATCCGCCTCAAGGTTGTGCGTGTTGTGGCTTCACAAATGCTTTGCTGCATACCTCGGTTGTAACGAGTGGTTATTTCAGTCACTGTTGCCCTTCTATCAGCTCGAACCAGTCTGGCCATTCTCCTCTGACCTCTGGCATCAACAAGGCATTTCCGCCCACAGAACTGCCGCTCACTGGATGTTTTTTCTTTTTCGGACCATTCTCTGTAAACCCTAGAGATGGTTGTGCGTGAAAATCCCAGTAGATTAGCAGTTTCTGAAATACTCAGACCAGCCCTTCTGGCACCAACAATCATGCCACGTTCAAAGTCACTCAAATCACCTTTCTTCCCCATACTGATGCTCGGTTTGAACTGCAGGAGATTGTCTTGACCATGTCTACATGCCTAAATGCACTGAGTTGCCGCCGTGTGATTGGCTGCTTAGAAATTAAGTGTTAACGAGCAGTTGGACAGGTGTACCTAATAAAGTGGCCGGTGAGTGTATATATACACTCACCTAAAGGATTATTAGGAACACCATACTAATTCTGTGTTTGACCCCCTTTCGCCTTCAGAACTGCCTTAATTCTACGTCGCATTGATTCAACAAGGTGCTGAAAGCATTCTTTAGAAATGTTGGCCCATATTGATAGGATAGCATCTTGCAGTTGATGGAGATTTGTGGGATGCACATCCAGGGCACGAAGCTCCCGTTCCACCACATCCCAAAGATGCTCTATTGGGTTGAGATCTGGTGACTGTGGGGGCCATTTTAGTACAGTGAACTCATTGTCATGTTCAAGAAACCAATTTGAAATGATTCGAGCTTTGTGACATGGTGCATTATCCTGCTGGAAGTAGTCATCAGAGGACGGGTACATGGTGGCCATAAAGGGATGGACATGGTCAGAAACAATGCTCAGGTAGGCCGTGGCATTTAAACGATGCCCAATTGGCACTAAGGGGCCTAAAGTGTGCCAGGAAAACATCCCCCACACCATTACACCACCACCACCAGCCTGCACAGTGGTAACAAGGCATGATGGATCCATGTTCTCATTCTGTTTACGCCAAATTCTGACTCTACCATCTGAATGTCTCAACAGAAATCGAGACTCATCAGACCAGGCAACATTTCTCCAGTCTTCAACTGTCCAATTTTGGTGAGCTCTTGCAAATTGTCGCCTCTTTTTCCTATTTGTAGTGGAGATGCGTGGTACCCGGTGGAGTCTTCTGCTGTTGTAGCCCATCCGCCTCAAGGTTGTGTGTGTTGTGGCTTCACAAATGCTTTGCTGCATACCTCGGTTGTAACGAGTGGTTATTTCAGTCAAAGTTGCTCTTCTATCAGCTTGAATCAGTCGGCCCATTCTCCTCTGACCTCTAGCATCAACAAGGCATTTTCGCCCACAGGACTGCCGCATACTGGATGTTTTTCCCTTTTCACACCATTCTTTGTAAACCCTAGAAATGGTTGTGCGTGAAAATCCCAGTAACTGAGCAGATTGTGAAATACTCAGACCGGCCCGTCTGGCACCAACAACCATGCCACGCTCAAAATTGCTTAAATCACCTTTCTTTCCCATTCTGACATTCAGTTTGGAGTTCAGGAGATTGTCTTGACCAGGACCCCACCCCTAAATGCATTGAAGCAACTGACATGTGATTGGTTGATTAGATAATTGCATTAATGAGAAATTGAACAGGTGTTCCTAATAATCCTTTAGGTGAGTGTATATATATACACACATATACCAGGGTCTGTCTGAATACTCGACTCTGATTGGCTGGAAGGTGTGCACTGGTAGTTTCTTTTAGTATTAGATTTGCTTTAAATCTAGGCTAAAAACTTTTTTTTTTAATCAGCATAGAGTTAAGGATGAAATATATTCATTGTGTTTTGTTTTTATGTTTTTACTGCCTCTTGTATTGATGTAAAGCACACTGGTCAACTGGTGTTGTGTTTAGTAGTGCTATAGAAATCAAATTGACATTGACAATCAGTTTAATCACCATTCTCTCTCTCTCTCAATAATTAATTCAAATAAATACTAATTATTTAACTGATTTAACGTGAGCAGAACGCTTGATCTGAACGAGCGTCACTGATGAAAATAACCATCATGCAAACATCAACAGCAATGCTGGATGACCATGGTATAACCGCAATAATCCACGGATAGCTGTGCATTAAATGATTTAATGATTTAAATGATTCACCAGAGGCCAAGAATAGACTAGCCATCAATTAGATTACAAAGAAATGAAATGAGTGAAGAAATGAAACCAAACACCTTGTAATCACTGTTGACTTTGCTTACATGATGGAATATCATACAACTCACAAGCTATTTTGGCAAACCAAAAAAACAAATTTAAGGTTATTTAGTCTAGAAGTGTGTTCCTCATAGCCGGACTACATCGGGTCTATAGTTCACCGAGACGCTGAAATGACGGATATTGCTTGCTGGGTAACCATATTATGATTTGATATATATATATATATATATATATATATATATATATATATATATATATATATATATATACAGCGCCGCCGCTCCCACCACGCGCTGTGCGTAGGGCACCAAAAATAGCCTAATGAAAAATAAATCATCATAGTCATAATAATTATAATGCCGATATTATTTCAGTATAGAAATATTATTAGGCACTTTTTTAGGCATGTATATAACAAAACAGGCGGAACAGAGTATTTAATTGGATTTTATATAAAGAGGATTTTGACCGGGTTCTGGCAGCTGATCATGATATAATTATTAGCAGTAATATAGATATAGATATAGGTATCGTACCCTCACAGAACGGACAGCACTCTCCAGGGATCTTCACCGGGTTCTGGCAGCTCTGTTTGCAGGCCATCGCGGTGCAGTGCGGTTCTCCATCCACACACTGGCAGAACGTGCAGTCGTCCTCCTTCCACTGTTCCTCGTGCGCTCGCAGTGTGTGACTGACCCAACAGCTGGCCTTCGAGCTCTCCACCGACAGCAGCTCCACATCTACACACACACACACACACACACACACACACTGCTGTTACTCATGCGCTCGCAGTGTGTGACTGACCCAACAGCTGGCCTTCGAGCTCTCCACCGACAGCAGCTCCACATCTACACACACACACACACACACACACACACACACACACACACACACACTGCTGTTACTCGTGCGCTCGCAGTGTGTGACTGACCCAACAGCTGGCCTTCGAGCTCTCCACCGACAGCAGCTCCACATCTACACACACACACACACACACACACACACACACACACACACACACACACACACTACTGTTACTCATGCGCTCGCAGTGTGTGACTGACCCAACAGCTGGCCTTCGAGCTCTCCACCGACAGCAGCTCCACATCTACACACACACACACACACACACACACTGGTGTTACTCATGCGCTCGCAGTGTGTGACTGACCCAACAGCTGGCCTTCGAGCTCTCCACCGACAGCAGCTCCACATCTACACACACACACACACACACACACACACACACACACACACACACACACACACATACACACACACACACACACTGCTGTTACTCGTGCGCTCGCAGTGTGTGACTGACCCAACAGCTGGCCTTCGAGCTCTCCACCGACAGCAGCTCCACATCCACACACACACACACACACACACACACACACACACACACACACACACACACACACACACACACACACTACTGTTACTCATGCGCTCGCAGTGTGTGACTGACCCAACAGCTGGCCTTCGAGCTCTCCACCGACAGCAGCTCCACATCTACACACACACACACACACACACACACTGGTGTTACTCATGCGCTCGCAGTGTGTGACTGACCCAACAGCTGGCCTTCGAGCTCTCCACCGACAGCAGCTCCACATCTACACACACACACACACACACACACACTGGTGTTACTCATGCGCTCGCAGTGTGTGACTGACCCAACAGCTGGCCTTCGAGCTCTCCACCGACAGCAGCTCCACATCTACACACACACACACACACACACACACACACACACACTGCTGTTACTCATGCGCTCGCAGTGTGTGACTGACCCAACAGCTGGCCTTCGAGCTCTCCACCGACAGCAGCTCCACATCTACACACACACACACACACACACACACACTGCTGTTACTCATGCGCTCGCAGTGTGTGACTGACCCAACAGCTGGCCTTCGAGCTCTCCACCGACAGCAGCTCCACATCTACACACACACACACACACACACACACACACACACTGCTGTTACTCGTGCGCTCGCAGTGTGTGACTGACCCAACAGCTGGCCTTCGAGCTCTCCACCGACAGCAGCTCCACATCTACACACACACACACACACACACACACACACACACACACACACACACACACACACACACACTACTGTTACTCATGCGCTCGCAGTGTGTGACTGACCCAACAGCTGGCCTTCGAGCTCTCCACCGACAGCAGCTCCACATCTACACACACACACACACACACACACACTGGTGTTACTCATGCGCTCGCAGTGTGTGACTGACCCAACAGCTGGCCTTCGAGCTCTCCACCGACAGCAGCTCCACATCTACACACACACACACACACACACACACTGGTGTTACTCATGCGCTCGCAGTGTGTGACTGACCCAACAGCTGGCCTTCGAGCTCTCCACCGACAGCAGCTCCACATCTACACACACACACACACACACACACACACACACACACACACACACACACACTGCTGTTACTCATGCGCTCGCAGTGTGTGACTGACCCAACAGCTGGCCTTCGAGCTCTCCACCGACAGCAGCTCCACATCTACACACACACACACACACACACACACTGCTGTTACTCATGCGCTCGCAGTGTGTGACTGACCCAACAGCTGGCCTTCGAGCTCTCCACCGACAGCAGCTCCACATCTACACACACACACACACACACACACACACTGCTGTTACTCATGCGCTCGCAGTGTGTGACTGACCCAACAGCTGGCCTTCGAGCTCTCCACCGACAGCAGCTCCACATCTACATCTACACACACACACACACACACACACACACACACACACACACACACACACTGCTGTTACTCATGCGCTCGCAGTGTGTGACTGACCCAACAGCTGGCCTTCGAGCTCTCCACCGACAGCAGCTCCACATCTACACACACACACACACACACACACACACTGCTGTTACTCATGCGCTCGCAGTGTGTGACTGACCCAACAGCTGGCCTTCGAGCTCTCCACCGACAGCAGCTCCACATCTACATCTACACACACACACACACACACACACACACACACACACACACACTGCTGTTACTCGTGCGCTCGCAGTGTGTGACTGACCCAACAGCTGGCCTTCGAGCTCTCCACCGACAGCAGCTCCACATCTACACACACACACACACACACACACACACACACACACACACACACACACACACACACACACACTACTGTTACTCATGCGCTCGCAGTGTGTGACTGACCCAACAGCTGGCCTTCGAGCTCTCGAAATAATGCTAAAATAACACTGTGCATTACAAGAATAAATGGAAAGTGGGTATGAATTCAGAAAATAATCTATTTCTGGTTCAAAGGTATGAAAAATAATTTCCGCCACGGATTAAAAATATAAAAAGATAATTGCGAATTAAAAAAACAACAACACAAAATTCTGACTTTTTTCCTCAGAATTCTGCATGCAAAACAAATTCATTCGAATGGCAAAATGTTAACTAAGAATCAGTTTAGTTAGTATCATTGAAACTTTTAGAGCAAGAGCACAAATTTGATCTGTTGACTACAGTTGGTCTCACAGAAACTATACGAGTTTGACCTTTAACCTTTAGGAGCACAAGGTCACAGCTGTAATGCAGAGATCTGCGACTGTGACTGAAATCTGAGACGTGTGGAGAGTAAACCGTCAGTAACCGTGTGTGTGTTGATCTTCAGGGTGTCGCTGTTGAATTTGTGTTTTCACTGGTCTGTGACCTGTCATCAAAAATTCTAATTTTTTTCCTCATCATATCTTTAATTGGAATCAACTTCTAAGAGACTGGTTTAAGATGAAACCATCAGCTTACAACTTTTAGGCAGACACTTTTATTCCCAGCGCGACTTGCATTGCATTCACGCCGCTACACATTTACCTTCCATCAGTTCTTGGTTTCCCTGGGAGTCGAACCCATGACCTTGGTGTTGCTACCGCCATGCTTTACTATTTGAGCTTCTGGAAATGTAATAAAACCAGTGCAAATGATAAAATCAAAGCCAAATTAAAACTGGGTGGCTGATGAATGTCTTGCAGCTCAACAGTAGAACACAGCTCAATCCCGAGGTCATGGGTTCGATTCCCAAGAAAAGCTTGAACTGGTAAATTTTTTTTTTTTTTTTTAAAAGCATGCCTTTTATAAAATTTAGGTTGCTTTGGATGAAAGCATCTGCCAAATGCATCAATGTAAATGAAAATAAAATGCATTTTACACTCAAAATTCACACAAAAAAATGGTTTATGGTCTGAATCAGAATCTGAACTGATTAGTTGTGAAAATCATCCAGGTTTATCAGTACAAAAGAAGAGCTGAACTTCCTCCATGTTGGTGTTCAGTTGTGAAGAGGCACATACTCTCAGCCGATGATGTTCATACCTATACAGACGGGACAACACTCTCCGTCGGGAACGTAGAAGTTCTGGCAGTCCGGCTCGGCACACTCGGCCCGGGAACAGAAGGACACTCCTCCTCGACACTGACACCTCCAGCACGAGTCCATGCGATACACCTCGCCCTCCGCAAACTCCTGCCCGTCACGAACACACCGCGGGGGAACTGCACACACACAACAACTCTTCTGTTACGATATATGTAGCATTTACAGACACACAGACTGATAGATAAACAGATAGACAGAGACAGACAGATAGATAGATGGATAGACAGACAGACAGACAGACAGACAGACAGACAGATAGACAGACAGACAGACAGATAGACAGACAGACAAACAGATAGACAGACAGACGGATAGATGGATAGACAGACAGACAGACGGATAGATGGATAGACAGACAGACAGACAGACAGACAGACAGATAGACAGATAGACGGATAGATGGATAGACAGACAGACAGACAGACAGACAGATGGATAGACAGACAGACAGACAGACAGATGGACAGACACATAGACATGAGTTTGAACAATGAATGGCTGCTTTATAAAGGTGAGGTGTGTTTAACCGTTCATTAAACTAAATCTACATAAAGCCAAGAAACACACGCATTCCCCTCCAACTGTATACGCAGGATCCCAGTGAGCTCAGCACTTCTGCGAAGCCTCGGGCGCAGGATCCCAGTGTTCCCAGTGATCCCGGCATTCTCAGACGGGGCATGTGAAGCCGTGTGATCGCTGCTCACTCACGCACACACACACACACACACACACACACACACACACACACTTACACATGTGAGGTCAAAGAAACACAGCAGCCGAGGTCAAGAGAGCTCCTGTACGAGCGCCGGGAAGAGCCGGAAACCCTCCGGTCTCCAGAGCTCCACAATAACTCCACAATAACTCCACAATAACTCCACAATAACTCCACAATAACTCCACAATAACTCCACAATAACTCCACAATAACTCCACAATAACTCCACAATAACTCCACAATAACTCCACAATAACTCCACAATAACTGCTGTACAGATCATTAGACACACATAAACCCTGCGCTCAGGAACGCAGACACAAAGACATACACACTACATCCCAACATGATATGACTGGGGTTTTTGGACATGGGATCATGGTATTATAAGGGTTTTTGGACATTCACCATGGTATTACTGTGTATTACTGTGTATTGCTTTGTTATTTTCCAGTCATTTAAACAGGGTTCGTACAGAAACTGTCAAATGAAATTCCAGGACTTTCAAGGACATTTCAAGCACTACTTGTTTTGGTTTTCAAGGACAACAATCAGAGATCGCACTTATCAAACAATGTCTTTATTATCTTTCAAACTATAAAAAAGGCAAATAGATAATTAAAAAATGATAATACAACAAAATTGTACAAATAAAGTGCAGCACATCCAATGACTGGAAACTTTAACCATTGGAAATACTATGACAAAGATATCGCTTTCCTTATTCAAACTATATACACTACCGTTCAAAAGTTTGGGGTCAGTGAGAATTTTATTTTTATTTTTTGGAGGAAAGAAATCAATACTTTTATTTATCAAGGAATAATTAATTTGATTGAAAGTGACAGTAAAGACATTTATAATGTTACAAAAGTCTTTTGAACTTCCTATTCATCAAAGAATCCTAAAAAAAAAAAAAAAAAAAAACTGTACAACTGACAGACCAACAACTGTTTCAACATTGATAATAATAATAAATGTTTCTTGAGCATCAAATCCTCATATTATACTGATTTGTGAAGGATCATTTGACACTGAAGACACTGACACTGGTGATGCTGAAAATTCAGCTTTGATCACAGGAATAAATTACACTTTACTATATATTCACACAGAAAACAGCTGATTTACACTGGAATAATATTTAATACTATAACTGATTTTTGTTGTATTTTTTAATCAAATAAGCGCAGCCATGGTTAGCAGAAGAGAATTCTTTTAAAAGTATTTAAAATCGTACCGACCCCAAACTTTTGAACGGTAGTGTATATATACTATATATTGACCTAAAGAATGAAAGCTCTATATATTATAGATATATTATAGATAATGTATATATTATCTATCTATCTATCTATCTATCTATCTATCTATCTATCTATCTATCTATCTATCTATCTATCTATCTATCTATCTATCTATCTATCTATCTATCTATCTATCTATCCATCCATCCATCCATCCATCCATCCATCCATCCATCCATCCACCATCCACCATCCATCCATCTATCAATCATCTATATATATATATATATAAGCTCTATGGCTCTATATATATTCTAATATAGCCTATTGTCTTCCAATAATTCAAGCATCTTTTCATAAATATGGGTTTCAAGGGTTTTCCAAGACTTAAATTTCAGAAAGTCAAATTCAAGTTCTTCAAGCACTTTAAACACCTTGTACAAACCCTGTTTAAAGCAATTCAGTTATTTACAAATTGGAGGATTTTCAGTTGTATGTCAGGTACCAATCTATGAAATTAAGTGATTTAAGGAAATATATTTTTTCAGGTGCAAAAGTATCAGAAAAAAACATTAACAAATGAGATATTTTTGTTACCAATTTGTACACACGACTCTTTCTTTGTAACACGATCTCTCTTATTCTCACACACTGACTCAAGACACACACACATTCCCATCAGTGACCTATTGAACCTTCCCATCAGCCTCTCCTTGTGTTCTTCTGCCTGAAGCATAAGCAGTTTTTCCTCCACCGCTGCGCTTCTCCTTAAGTCCATTAGTTCCAGGACGCAGAGCACATTTAGCGCCGGGCCAAGAGGCCAACGCCGGAATTTGGATTGTTGGTAAAACAGAATATTTGACGCTAAACCAGAGCAAACACTGAGGCCCTGTCTCACTGACTCCGCCCCTTTTTCACACCTCATCACTTCCTGTCTGTCCAGCTCTCACAACAGGAACTCTGTGTTTCGTGTCACTAGCAGGATTGCATATGATTGCGTTGTACTCTATTGTATAATGACAAATAAAGATTCTGATTCCCTGAGCACGTCCCGAGTCCCGACCCGCCGTGATGCAGCCGTTTCCAGTGTTTTCCCGATAGCACATCTGTCCTGTCTGACAGTGACATCATGATGCACAACAATCACGTTGTGAAACATGTGAAAGATTCGTGTTCTCTCTTGCGTTCCCCTGAGAAACTTTGCATGCAAAAGCATTGATATATAGTTTTTCCTCCAACCTCATATTACTTCCATCATAAAGTGTCTATAGGGAAATTCAAAGGTTTTGCAAGATAACAAAGTTTTGCGAATGAATGCAAAATTTTGTGGGGGAACGCAAATGTTCTGAGAGAAAATGCAAAAGTTTTGAAAGTAAAAGTAAAGTTTCTCTGGGAAATGTTAAAGTTTTGAAAGCGAGAGCAAAAGTTTTGCAAGCAAGCGTAAAATTTCTCTGGGAAATGTAAAAGTTTTGAAAGTAAACGTAAAGTTTCTCAAGGAAATGTAAAAGTTTTGAAAGTAAACGTAAAGTTTCTCTGGGAAATGTTAAAGTTTGGAAAGTAAACGTAAAATTTCTCTGGGAAATGTAAAAGTTTTGAAAGTAAACGTAAAGTTTCTCTGGGAAATGTAAAAGTTTTGAAAGTAAACATAAAGTTTCTCTGGGAAATGTAAAAGTTTTGAAAGTAAACGTAAAGTTTCTCTGGGAAATGTTAAAGTTTTGAAAGTAAACGTAAAGTTTGTCTGGGAAAGTAAACGTAAAATTTATCTGGGAAATGTAAAAGTTTGGAAAGTAAACGTAAAGTTTCTCTGGGAAATGTAAAAGTTTTGAAAGTAACCGTAAAGTTTCTCTGGGAAATGTTAAAGTTTTGAAAGTAAACAAAGTTTCTCTGGGAAATGTTAAAGTTTGGAAAGTAAAAAAAGTTTCTCTGGGAAATGTTAAAGTTTGGAAAGTAAACAAAGTTTCTCTGGGAAATGTTAAAGTTTGGAAAGTAAACGTAAAATTTCTCTGGTAAATGTTAAAGTTTTGAAAGTAAACGTAAAGTTTCTCTGGGAAATGTTAAAGTTTTGAAAGTAAACGTGAAGTTTCTCTGGGAAATGTAAAAGTTTTGAAAGTAAACGTAAAGTTTCTCTGGGAAATGTAAAAGTTTTGAAAGTAAACGTAAAGTTTCTCTGGGAAATGTAAAAGTTTTGAAAGTGAGTGCAACAGTTTTGAAAGTAAACGTAAAGTTTCTCTGGGAAATGTAAAAGTTTTGAAAGTGAGTGCAACAGTTTTGCAAGCTAACGTTAACGTTTTGCAAGTGAACACAAAGTTTCTCCGGGAAACACAAAAAGTTTTGTGAGCAAATGCAAAGTTTGTGAGGAAATGTGAATGCAGAACTAGCACCACGTCCTGCACGTTCTCCCGATCTGTCCTGTCTGACGGTGAAACGTTTGTGCTCTTTCTTGCGAGAAACTTTGCATTCACGTGCAAACACATTAATATATAGTTTTTCCTCCAACCTCATATTACTTCCATCATAAAGTTTCTATTGGGAAATGCAAAAGTTTTGCAAGGAAACAAAGTTACGAGAAAACATCCAGATTCTTGAGGAAGTGCAAAAGTTTTGCAAACAAATGTAAAGTTTTGCGAGCAAACGCTAAATTTCTCCAGGAAATGCAAAAGTTTTGCAGGGGAAACGCAAATGTTTGGGGAGAAAATGCAAAAGTTTTGCGACTGAACACAAAGTTTCTTGAGGGAACGCAGAAGTTTTGTGAAGGAACGAAAAGTTTCTCTGGGAAATGTAAAAGTTTTGAAAGTAAACGTAAAGTTTCTCTGGGAAATGTAAAAGTTTTGAAAGTAAACGTAAAGTTTCTCTGGGAAATGCAAAAGTTTCGCAAATGAGCGCAAAAATTCTCAGGGGAACACAAAAGTTTTCGGAGAGAATGCAAAAGATTTGCAAGCTAACTTAAAGTTTTGCGAATTAACAAAATTTCTCTGGGAAACGTAAAAGTTTCGTGAGAGGGCGAAAGTTTTTTTTATATAAAAACAACGTTTTGAGAATAACAACATTTTGTGAGTGAACACAAAGTTTCTTGAGGGAACGCAGAAGTTTTGTTGAAGGAACAAAAAGTTTCTCTGGGAAACGCAAAAGTTTTGTGAGCGAATGGAAAAGT